GTGGGTCACATCAACATTCCCCCCATCCTGGGAGCAGGACAGTGTTGACCCCAGGGATTCAGGACCATAACACATCCCCTGAGCCCAGCCCAGCGTTCCCCACGCCAGAGGTGATGTCGACCCACCCCTAAGGTCAGCACCAGCCCTTACCCAGGGCAGCTTGTCTTTGCACTTCGCCGGGGCGCCAGCAGCGCTGGGATTCCCGAGCATCTTCCTGTACATCTCGGTCTCCACGTTCTTCTGGTCCGCGTGCTTTTTCACCAGCTTGGAGAGCTCAGCGTGGATGGTCTGGGGAGGAGAGGGCAGCGCTATCAGCCCCGCATCACCCCTGCCGTGCCGGGCAGGGGACCGGGACCACAGTGTGGAAAAGTGTCTGCCTGGAGGGCTCTCCCACTTTTCTGTCTGAAAGCAGTCTGGGAAAGCGGGCTTAAATTCACCCTAGTCTGAAGTGGGATTGCAGCAAGATACGGGAGCGTATTGTACCTGCCCAGCTGTGCCGATGGCTGCAGCTGCAGAAAATATGTCCAAGTCCTGCGCAGAGCTCACAGGCTCCCAAAAAAAGCAGCAAAAAGCACCGACGGGCCGAGCATGGCACTGCCAGCCCTTCCCCGAGCCCGCCGCGGCAGGAAGGACATCGAGGTGGCCGGTGCCACAGCCGTGCTGTGCCCTCTGCTGGGGACACCTCCCCGAAACACCGGCACCAGCCACCCACACCAACTCCGGCCCAGAAACCATCCAGGGCTTCTCCAGCCCACCTCAGCCCTGCTGTCCCCATCGTGAGGCTTTGGACGTCCGGAGGGTGCAGAGCCGACAGCCCCAGAGAATCAGGTTTCCTCATCCGAGGCAGGTGGAGCCGAGCATTTCTCGAGTCTGTTTTCACCACCAGTAGCCATAGCCCGTGACTCACCGATGCGTGTTTCACGCTGCCGTCTGGAGCGGCACAGCCACTTCCCTAGGAGTCCCGGCCGGAGAGGCCAGTAATTTGCTGTACTTGTGGTTTCACTGGTAACGTCACTGCTGGGCATTTTGATTTTTCATCCCTCTCCAATTAAAAGCTTCATTCGAATGGGCTGGCGAGCAGCTGCCCTGCCAGCAGTGACACGCCGGGGATGCACCGGGGATCTGTGCTGCTCACTCCTCACGGCTGCCCACCCTGACCTTGCTGGGGAGCGAAGGGTTTGAGATCCTGCTCGCCCTCCCCCGTGGGTGCTCTTGAACCACAAGCTCTGCGGGTGCTGCAGCACCTGCTTTTGGTGCCTCATCCTACCCAGAACCTTTGTGCACCAGATCACAAAACAGAACATGGTGAAATTCCCAGAAAAGAGGCAGATAAAACAACAGACCCAGTGGAGGACTAAAGCCCACCGGTAGAATGAAGCCCCCTGTTTCAAATCTGTGAAGGCAGCACCTCCCTCCCCTCTCTCTCCCACACCTCGCCCAGGCTCGCTCCTGCTGGGGCCATTTCCTGGCGTTGGCTTTTGATTTCTCCCGAGGCTCCAGTCCTGCAGCTGATCATTAACTGACAGGAAATTCCTGACCCAGAGCTCACCCTGGCCCAGGTATTGGACCCAGGTTTGGGCTGCTCCCGCCACCCGGTGAATCACACTCCAGGCTGCTGAGCGAGTTTTGCGGGGACTCGGCTCTGCTCTGCT